CACCTCATCCCCTCCCCGCGTGGCTTCCTGACGCGCCCTCGCCCGCAGGACATCGCGCAGATCGTGGCCCATCTGGTGTCTGAGGACGTGGACAGGGACGTGCTCATCCCCCACCCGCAGAGATCCACCGAGTCCACCAACGCCTTCCGCGCCTTCCTGGCTCGGAGCGCACCTCTCTGGCAACGCGCAACTTTCCAGGCCAGGACTCCAAGGTCGCCCCCTTCCTAATAATCCAGCTGAGCCCAGTGTCTGTCTTCCAGCGTCTTTCTTTGGGGGTCCTGGGGAGGCGGCCTCTGCGCCCTCTGCGTGTCCTACCAGGGATCCCGACCCACCCACAGATGAGGAAAGGGGCCTGGTGGACCTCTCAGGACAGGCAGCCTGCCCCTCCTGAGGCCTTGGGGACCTGGCCAAGGTCTGTGGGAGGCTGCCTGGGGGCCTTAGCCTCAGGCTGTTCTGGGAGGCCCCACTTGCTGGCGCTGGCTGTGACTCAGCTCCTCTCCTGGCCTGGGCCCAGCCACTCGACTGGGAACTGGGTGCCTGCCTGCAGGAGGCTGTGAGATGATGGGTCAGGACAAGGGATGTGCAGGGTGGGGGTCTCACACGAGGTCCTGCTTCCAAAGGCCAAGTGAGTGAGTATACATGACCCAGACTCCTGTGTTGGGAAGCTGCAGGCAGGGCCCAGGAATCTAGTGCTGGACACACAGTGGGGGCTTTCTGGAGGAGGGCCTCTGGACAGTGAAGCTGGTGGAGGACCAGGACCAAGAAGGCGGCAGGGCTGAGTCTGGCGGCTGTGAGGAACTGGCTGGGAGTGGCTGGAGGCAGGGGGCTGGTGCCTCTCCGGTCATGAGGCTGCAAAGGGTCTGAGCTGGGGAGACCAGGATGGACAGGGCCTGGGGTAGGGGGCAGGCAGGGGGAGGCATGCATGGGCTCCCAATCCCAGCTGGTTGGGAAACACCAAGGACTCCACTAGGGGCCCGACTGGGCCTCTGGTTGACCTGACGGAGGAAGCAGGAGTGGGGCTCCAAGTGAGGGCCGGAGCTAGTAGGACTGTGCCACCACCTGGCCCCCACAGGAGTACATGCTGGCGGTGCTGTCCCATCTGGCTCCCTCCCCAGCTGCTGCTGAGAGGCCAGCCCAACTAAGCTGCCAGCAGCCTGCTGCCTGACACCAGTACTGTGCTCGCACCTGCCTCCCTCCCCTCCTTACTGTGAGACTCAGTGTAAGTTCCTGCTTCCTCCAGGGAACCTCTAAGATCACACAGCTGGGCGGCCCCTTCTCTCTATAGTTCCCCAGATGTCATTTGCCCAGCATAGGGACCTTCTGCATGTCTCAGAAACTCTAGGGTGATGGAGAACAGACCCTCCAGGGGCTGGGAGAGGTGTCCCTAGGGGTGGGGGGCGGTCTGGGCAGGGCCCTGGGGGCCCATCATGACCTTTCCTCTCCTCAGAGGCCCCTGGTGAAGACACAGGCGTGTCTTGCCCCTCCCCCAGGCATTCACAGTGTGCAATGGGACTGAAGGCATGCTGTGGCTGTGAGCAGCCCTGTGGCTCAGTGGCTTTAAGGTGGTTCAGCCTGTAATTCCAGCACTTTGGGAGGCTCAGGCGAGTGGATTGCCTGAGGCTCTGGGTTCGAGACCCACCCCGACAACTTGGTGGGACCTAGTCTGTACAATAAATAAAAAAAATTAGCTGGGGTTGGTAGCACACACCTGTAATTCTGGCTACTTGGAAGGCCGAGGCGGAAGGATGGCCAGAGCCCAGCAGGTCGAGGCTGCGGTGGCCAGAAGCATGCAACTGCACTCCAGTCTAGGCGACAGAGTGAGACTCCAACTCAAAACACAAATAAATAAATAAATAAATGAAAGACTGTGTACTACTCTCGCTTGTGAAGGGGTTTCATCTGGGCTTACCCCCCTGCTTCACCTGGTCTTGGTGGGGTGCTGCCTTCTCCTCTCCACGGGGTCTCCCTGCAGGGATCTCCCTTGTGGAGGCAGCAGAAGCAGATCTAGGGCCTTCCTCTGACTGAGGCCCAGCCTGGGACTCCTGGTGGGTAATGTGGCACAGGGCCTGCTGGTCAGTGGGGACCAGGCACTGAGCATGGGCCCTCTCCAGAAGAGGCAGGACCAGGACAGGACCATGACTGGGACAGGTCAGGTTGTCATGATAACCCATGGTTGCCTTGACAAACTACCACAAATTTAGTCTTACATTTTTATTTTAGGCTGGGTCTCACTATGTTGCCTAGGCTGATCTTGAACACCTGAGCTCAAGCAAGCCTTCTGCCTTGGCCTCCCAACAGCCAGGACCCCAGGCGTGAGCCACCATGCCTGGCTCTAATTTAGTACTTTGAAACAACAGGACTTCACTCTCTAAGTCTGAAGAAGTCCCAGATGGGTCTCACTGGGCTGAGAAGAGGTGTTGGCAGAGCCCTGTTCCTTGCCACATTCCTTGGCTGGTTGCTCCTCCTCCAAGTGGCAGCGTGGCACTTCCCTGGCCCTTTTTTACTTGGCTCCCCCACAGCCTCTCTGCCTCCCTCTCCACCTCAAAGAACCCTTGTGGTTACACAAGGCCCACCCAGATGATTCAGGAAAATTTCCCTGGTTAGTGGTTTATTTTTATTTTTATTAGCTTTTAATTTTTTAATTTTAAATAGGTGGGGTAAGCCGGACTCGGTGGCTCAGCCTGTAATCCCGCGCCTTGGGAGGCTGAGGTGAGTGGATTGCCTGAGCCCGTGGGTTCGAGACCCACCTGGGCAACTTGGTGAGACCTCATCTCTACAATAAATCAAAAAATCAGCCGGGCGTGGTAGTGCGCGCCTGTAGTTCCAGCTACTCGGAAGACTGAGGCGGAAGGATCGCTGGAGCCCAGCAGGTTGAGGCTGCGGTGGCCGGGAGCGGCCACTGCACTCCAGTCTGGGCGACGGAGTGAGACTCCAATGCAAAATAAAATAAAACAAAATAAAATAAATAAATAAATGAATGAATAGATGGGGTAAAATTCAGGGTTAGGTATACAAATGTTCATTATGCAGGCACCCTTGTTGATGAGGGGTGTGCCCCCCCGGCAGTTTCCCACTACTGCCAATCCTTTTCTCATAGTATTACGAGAATTGTTCAAGGTCCGCTTATGAGTGAGAACATGTGATACACAGTTCTCTGTTTCTGTGATAGATCACTCAGTATTATATACTCTAAGTCCATCCAGGTTGCTGTGAAATTCATGATTTTGTCCTTTATGGCTGTGTGATATTCCATCATGTACATGTACCATTTTTTAAATTCAGTCCTCTTTTGATGGGCAGCACGGTTGGTTCCAAGTTCTTCTATTGTGAACAATGCAATAAACATACGTGTGCAGGTATCTTTTTCATAGAGTGATTTGAGTTCCTCCAGGTATATGCCCGGTAAGGGAATTGCAGGGTCATATGAAAGGTCAATTTTTAGTATAGGGATCACCACACTGTTTTCCACAGAGGCTGTACTAGTTTACACTTCCACCCACAGTTTAGAAGTGTTCCCTTTTCACCGCATCCTCTCCAGCGTCTGTTGTTTTTTGAGTTATTGATGATGGCCATCCTGACAGGAGTTAGGTGGTATCTCAGTGTAGTTTTTAATTTTTTTAATTTTTTAAATTTGTTATTTTTTATTTTGAGTTGGAGTCTCACTCTGTTGCCCAGACTGGAGTGCAGTAGCCGCTCCCGGCCACCGCAGCCTCAACCTGCTGGGCTCCGGCGATCCTTCCGCCTCAGCCTTCCAAGTAGCTGGAACTACAGGCATGCACTACCACGCCCGGCTGATTTTTTTGATTTATTGTAGAGATGAGGTTTCCCCAAGTTGCCCAGGTGGGTCTCGAACCTGCGGGCTCAGGCAATCCACTCACCTCAGCCTCCCAAAGGCGCAGGCTTACAGGCTGAGCCACTGAGCCCCGCTCAGTGTAGTTTTAATTTTGAGAAGTGTCTATTCATATCTTTTGCTCACTTTGTAATGGGGCTGTTTGTTTTTTTCTTTTCGGCACATTTGAGTTCCTTGTAATCCTAGATGTTAGGCCTTTGTCAGACATACAGATGGCAAATATTTTTTCCCAGTCTGTGGGCTGTCTCCCTGCTCTCTTGATGGTTTCTTTGGCTTTGCGAAGCTTGTCAGTTTGATGAGGTCTCACTTGTCTATCTTATCTTTTATGGCTTGGGCACTTAGGGTTTTGATCAAGAATTGGTTGCCAGTTACAATTTCCATAAGGGTGTCTCCTGCATTTTCATTTCATTTCTTTTCTTTTTTTAAAGCAGAATTTATTGAGAGGACAGAAAAGTTCCCACAGTGGGAGGGGACTTGAAGAGGTTGCCATCTCCTGCATTTTCTAAGGTTCTTATAGTTTGAGGTTTTATGTTTAGGTCTTTGATCCATTTAGAGTTGATTTTTGTGTATGGTGATAGTTAGGGGTCTTGTTTTAATCTTCTGCAAGTGGTCAGCCAGTTTCCCCAGCACCATTTACTGAATAGGTTCTCCTCTCCCCAAAGATTAGTGGTGAAGGCTTTGTTGAAAATGAGTTGGTTGAGAAATTGAGGTTTTGCTTCTGGAATCTCTATCC